CACCTTTTTATTAATAAACATTGACTTTGTCAAGTGATCCAGAAAATATTTTTTCTTAATAAATTCTAAAACACTTAAGCATATTCAAACTCTTTTCAAAACTCTATAAAAGGACAAACCTTATTAAACTTCTTTTTGTTCCTCTGTGCACTTTTCTTTTAGAGAATTTTTTTCAAAAGATTAGATATTAGTCTATTCTTGTAGTGATGCAAAGCACTATACTTCTACAAGATGTTGAGAAATGATTGACATTTTCCACTTGAATGTTGAGACGTGCTTGTAAGAAAGTCCAAGTAAAAGTTCTCCATATCAAGATGATGCAAATGCTCATTTCCTCATACTTGTGGGTAGTGAGTTGAGCTTTCCACTCGAATACGACAAAGTATCTCTTCATTTAAAATCAATCAACAAACAATATAACCTTTTTATAAACACGGATTTGCAAGTGGTTCCTGTTGAGTATAATGGATGTGAGGGTGCTAATACCTTCCCCTTGAATAACCAACTCCCGTGTCCAGATCTCTCTCTTTTTCCTTTTTCTTGTTTTGCTTTTTGTGGGTTTTGTTCGACCTTTTCCCTTTTCCCTTTGGAAACAATAAAGTTCAGTGGCGAACTCTTACTTTTTGAGTTAAGTTATCAATAGCTTAATCTCAATAATTTTTCCCACCGTGACAGACACGTCACCTCATTCTTTATATGGTAATAAATATGTTTATTATGAGAAAGTCAAACCAAACTTATTTGTTGAGACCATATGTGGTTGTTACTTTGCTTATATTATCAACATTCAAACCATATAGGAAAGTGGAGTTATTTTGCATAATGGATTGAAGGAGGGTTGGTTCATGACTCACTTATAATGGTCTCATAATGAAGATCCTGATTCATGTTGGGGTAAGTTTGGAAGGATAAGAACATGACTCGAGAAAATCAAATATTGGTTTAGGAAAATTGAATCAAATGAAGGTGTTGAAAAGGACAAAACTATGGGTTTATGCTTAAGATGCTCATGTTAAGCCAACTCCTCAAGTTCCTCTGGCTTCTTAACATACAGAGCAAGAAAATACTAAAGAGTTCGGTAGTGAGTGCTTTTAAAACCTTCAATTGAAGATCTCATTTAAACCATACTAGCTCATTCAAGATTAAAATACAATGCTTTGTTGTTTGACGACCAGAGTCAATTTCATCACATATCACTTATTTGGCACATGGGTTATTGTTACTCTTGAGTTCCTTGGTGATGATGATGATGGAGAAAAATAGTAGTATTATGTAGCATTTAATTGTTGAACTTGTTTATTTTCTTGTTTCGTTATTGCCTTGTTCTTATCTTTAATATTCCCTCTCAATAATTAGTTAAGGAAGCGTTCTAATCTATTATTGTTCAGATCCAACCAACACTTTCCTATTTTTCTAAGTCATAATCTACTATGGCTACAACCTAATCAAATATGATGTGGAAAGTGACCCACCTTCCTTTGTTGGGTAATTTTTTTTAGGCTTAAATAGTCTTTTGGTCCCTGTAAGTTAGTGAGTTTTTGGTTTGGTCCCTAAACTTTTTTTTTTTGGAGTCCCTACATTTTACTTTCTTGTCGGTGTTAGTCCCTAATGTCAAAAGTCTGTTAAAAAAAGCATATGTGGCAGACCGGTGCTAAGTTTGCTTTTGGTTTTAAATTTATATCATGCCATATAATATTCCACGTGGAAATGCAACATGTGGATTATTAAAAAAATGGATGAAATAAAAAATAACTATGTTTTTGTAACTTGTTCCCTCTCTCTTCATCTTCTTCATCTGAAAGTGAGATCCGTTTCATTCTTCTTCATCTACACATACATCAATGGCTTCTTCCTCAGCTACTAACTGCAATTTGTTTCAAATCCCAGTATGTGGTTGCAATAGATTAATGAAATTGTTCATATCAAACTCACCTAAAAACCCTAAACGGAGATATTGGAAATTTTAAAATTCTGGATTACTGTCAAGTTGCAAGTTATTCATATGGGATGATGAAATTGAACAAAATGCATTAAGTGAATTCAGAAATTCAAGTGCATACAATTGCTTAGAGGTTATTTAGGTTGCATTGTTAAGGAGCTTGAGGTTAGGAAAAAACAAAATACGAAGTTGAAGTTGGAAAACGAAAGAAGAAAAGCCAATTTGTTCAAGCTATTGTTGATCGTGTCATGGGGTTTCTTCATTGCTTTTCAGAAATGATGGTGAAAATCAATCGAATGTGTCTGTATTTTTTGTTTTTGTCTTTAGTCCCTGCAGCAAGAACTCTTTCTAAATGTAGTCCTTGGTTCTACATGTAACGATTTTATAATGAATGAATATGATGTTTTGAATTTGGGTCCTTATACGTTTGTGATTTTATTGTTTTCATCCATGTCTCATAATGTACTAAAATAAGATACGAGCCAAAAAGGCATAAATAGGCATAAACGCATATGATAAAAAGGCATAAACTTAAATAAGATACGTTGGTTAATGTATAACATAGCCAAACTACATAAAGCCAACATACATAACTGAATTGTTCATGACTTAAAGTAGAACATAACCAAGTTGCTTATGACACAAAGTACAACATAACCAAGTTGCTCATGACTCAAAATACAACATAACCAAAATACATAAAGCCAAAATACATAAATAAGTTATTCATGACTCAAAGTACAACATAACCAAATTACATAAAGCCCAAAAAAGGCATAAAAAAAAGTTCACTAATGTCTACAATGTCATTGGTCGTGTTGGGTCACTTCCTTCTCCCTTGATCTTTTTGCATTTAAGAACCCTTGCTCTGCCACTTCTCCTCAACTCTAATTTCCTTGCCACCTTTTGTTTGGCTTTCTTTTTCTATAAATATACAATCAAAACAAAAGCATTAGAATACATGCAATAAACACAATTGAAACTAATAAATTAAATTCATTTAAGCAACTTAACTTGTTTAGGGTTGTGAACATTTGGAATAGGTGCAAACACAACTAATTGAGGAACATGTTCAACATTTGGAATAGGTGCAGACAAAACATAATCAAATTGTGAACCACTTATACCAGACTCATGTGCATCTTGAATATTTGAAACATATGCATTTTCAACATTGGGGACAAGTGCATATTGGGAAGTAATATCATTTACATTTAGTTGAGGTTGTGTTGTGTCAAATGTTGCAGCAAGCATTTCAAATTCAGGGTTAACTTCAGTTTGACACTCAAAAGGGTGTTGTTCTTAAGGTTTTTCTTGTGTTGTATTTCTAGATGCAACTCCAATTTGAGGTTGGGTTTGTTCTTATGTTGTATTTCTATATGCAACTTTAAGGCATTGGTTCCTAAAACCTAATGCAGATAGTGATGTCTACAAGGTATGCCAACTAATTCCCAAAAATTACAGGTGTAAGTTATTTTTTAAAATGTCCACTGTAAAACTATGTCTTGTATGAACATGTTCAATTGGCCAAATTGTCTCACTAGACCAATTTGGAATCCAATTACCAGCATGTTCTACTTCTTTATCTAACCTAAGTATTAGTCTAGGCATTATCCTATGGTGAAACCTATCAACTCTTTCTCTTACGCTAGCTTTCCTATTCATGATGCAGTTTCTTATCTATTCACACATGGTTAAGATTAGTTTATCCCTAGTAACTAATATTGTGCTATTAAATGCTTCAGATACATTATTCATAAGTACATCACATTTGGGATAGAAAGAAGAAGCATGCTTACACCATGCTTTGGTAGGTATTTTAGCAAGCCACTCCCAAGCCTTCACATTAATCCACTTTAACTCTTTCATTCCTATGCTTGAATATATGTTGCCTTTTCTGTTGCCATCACGAAGTCCCTAATCTATGTGCCTCCACCAAACTTCTTTTTGAAATTGGCATATAAATGCATAAGACATAGCTCGTGCTCTACCCTCTCAAACATTTCTTGAAACACATGGATTAAATCCTACAAATTCAATCCAGAAGAAACATATATAAGGTATGAAATCCAAAATCAGAAAATGCATAAGGGATGAAATCCAATAGTCAAACATGCATAAGGGATGAAATCCAACAATTAAACATGCATAAGGGATTAAATCCAATAGTCTAACATGCATAGAGGATGAAATCCAACAGTTAAACATTAATGAAATGTACCATTTATTGGTTAGATATAAACACCCATCTTTTTTCTTGGTAAATGTCCTTCATAAGAAAATTAAGGAACCACCTTCATAACTCATTTGTTTCAGTTTTACAAACACCAAAGGCTACAGGATAATATTGGTCGTTAGGATATCTCCTAACAATAATAAGCAAGGTCCCTTCATATTTTGTTTTAAGATGACATCCATCAACACGAATGAATGGTCTGTAAGATATGGTGAACCCCTTCTTAAGTCCATCAAAGAAAAAGTAAAAACTCTCAAATCTTGATTGTATGGTTGGTCCAACCCTTGTCACATTAATTTTGCAATTTTTCATTGAATTTACCCTCCTTAATTCTGCATAATATCTCCACAATAAGGTATGCTATTTAGTTGCATCACCTTCAACCAAAGCTTTTAGAGTTTGCTTTGCCTTCCATGCCCTATTCATAGTTATACCAATAGAGTAATTACTCCTAATGTTAGAAACAATATCATGAACCATGATTCCATCCTAGTCGCCATAGTCTTAGCAATCCACTTGGAATTAGTTGACCTATTATTTAATACCATACCACACGTGTGAGCACCAACCCATATCTTCATTCTATATGTCTGCTTATTCCCAACCTTACTAACAAGTGCCAAAAAGCCACATTTTCCCTTGCAAACTACCCTTACTCTAACCTTGTCATTTTTTTACATAGTTTATCTCTCTCCCATTTAATATTGAACATTCCGTAATTGCCCCCTCAAATTCATCGAGTGATACAAACTTCAATCCCACTTTGAACTTGTAATTCTTGTCCAGCTCCTCCACCCTAGACCTAGGATACCTTGGTCCACTCTCTTAATCTGAAGCATCAGGATCACTGAAACCAAGCTCATCACTAGCATAATTGGTTTCCATCTCATCATTAACAAGACTAAATAAACCTACAATATCATCACCAATTCTTATTTTCTTTGGAGTATTCGTATGCTACCTTGATATTTGTTTTACCTTTTCTTCCCCCCAGATTGTTTATCAATTAAATCAAAGCCATCATCCAAGATCCCTCTCATCCTCACTATTATTAAATTATATACCATTAGCTTCAAAGTCACTATCATCACTGAAATCACTATCCCCGTGTTCATCTTCTTCAGCATTAATAACATATTCATCATTAACACCACCATCATACTCAACATTAACACCATCCTCAATATTAACAACACTATCACCATAATTAATAATACACTTATTCCCACCATTATCATTAACACCATCATCATTAACACAACCTACTTCCTCAACATTAATGGAACCATGATCAACTACCTTATGCTCAACATATATGTCCACTACACTTTTCATTTCAATATCAAATTTATAAACCTCATTAGCATCACTATCACTAACCGTTCTACTATGCCTATATGATTCATTGTTATACCACCATAACCAATATTTTGAATACTCAAGTTGGCAAAAGTCTTTCACTATACCAATAGCTTCAAAGAAGCTCCACTTATCAAGATCAATGTCTACTATATGTTCATGCCCACCTAGGTAACATATGACATTGTCCCTAAAAAATTTTCCCTCATAATGAAAGTTCAGAGTAAAAATCACACCTTTTTGCATCGATCGCCTTGCTCAACCTCATCTTCCTCGCAGTCGCCTCCCACCCCACACTGAACTCCCAAACGTTAGTATTTCTGAAACCCTAATTTTCAAGGACTAAAACTAAAATTGAAAAGTGAAATTTTTTTACTTTATTTTTGGTGGGAAATATGTGAACCGCGTATAATATTATGTGGCATGATATAAATTTAAAAACAAAAGCTAACTCAACATTGTCTGCCACATATGCTTTTTAACACAACTTTAACTTTAGGGACTAACGCCAACAAGAAAGTAAAATGTAGGGACTCCAACCATAAAAATACTTTAGGGAGCAAAATCAAAAACTCGCTAACTTACAAGGACCAAAAGAATATTTAAGCCATTTTTTATTATTAAAGGAGGATTTGTGATCATTTGAAAACACACGAGAAAATTAAAAATAACCTCTCTTTTACTCACTCTCTTGATCTTAGAAATTTCGCATTCATTTAAATTTTGTTTTAATACAGAGAGAGAAAACACTTAAGTAGAGGTATCTTGTATAAATCATTGTTGATATGAGATTGTAAAAAAAAATATGATTGTTTTCTTGGACAATGATGTATTGACATAAAATGTGCAAGCTGAACCTAAGATAAAAGCTTGATATAAGACGATAATGGGTTGGTCCTATTGTAAAATCTATGTGGTAGTTGAAATCTTAAGGGTCAATCCTTGGGGCTGGATGTAGGCCTCATGGTTTATGGTTGGACTAGGATACCGCGTCCTTCTATAATCTCTTATCTCTTTATTTTTCACCCTTTTCTACTCATTTTCTTAAAATAAACCTTAAAATAAATAAATATTTTTAAGTTTCTAAAAACTTTTTATGTTACAATTCACGTCCCTTTTAGGTAAAAAGTGGCATCAGAGCCTAAATCTATATAATACAAGTCTTTACTAAATAGAGTAGTCAAATCCATAGAAGATAAGTCTTTATATTCGGAAATCATATTGACTTTAGGTTGCCAACTATAGTATAAGCATCTAAGTACTTTTTTTTTTAATGTAATCCTAGTTTTGAAAAATGTTTATCCGGAGTTCTTAAATGATTAACGATATGAATAAATAATTATTTCGTGTTTAGAGTATTTCGTTCATGCTTCATTTTAAATAATCCATACTCATGGATTACTGTGTTCACTATAACCATTTTATTTTATCTCGGTTGTACCTTCATAGGTAACTTGAAGAGTATCCCACATTTCTTTAGCACTGTTACAATGTGATACACAAAAATATTATAAATACCTAAAGTCGTAGGGATGATGGGTTTTAGCTATCAAAATATACATCACGATTTATTTATTCTATGTGGTATGTAGATTGTTAGGTTTGTTTTCTAAATATCACAATTCATCCATCCAATAAATTTTTAATTTTATTTATACAATAAGCATTACCCTTTCATTGTTTAAATATGGATGTCGGGTTAAAGAACTATTTGAGATCATTCTACTGTGAATCTATGTGCTTCCATGTATAGAGCTAATGGTCCTGATGATGTTGACCATCTTAGTATTTTGATGATGATAACATTGATGCTTATTGAAGTCGATGGTGGTATCTTTCTAACTATTTGATGATGGTGATTAATTTGAAGATATATCAATCCTTATCAAGTACCAGGTTCAAGGTTCCAGTGAATTACTTTAATGATCAATGTATCTAGAAAAGGAACCTGAAAGCTTTAGAGTTGTGAAAGAGAGGAAGTGTGAAAGCTTGCTTGGTCGTGTCTGTCTAAGTGACCCCAGTCTTGTGAAAGTAGGAAAGTAACTCCTAAGATTTAAGGCAACTTAAACACATACACACACACCTAAAATGATTTTAAGGTATCTATTTATTTGATAAAATCACCTAAAAATCTTTTTGAATCCTAGCCAACTGATAAGGGGAGTGTCTGATTGATTGGAAGACTTTTCCCATTAAATAATCGATTAGACCTAATTACCTAATTCATTGTTTTCTTTTGGTTGAGTCTAAAATTTGAATGGGCATTCTCATAATGATTGGTAACAAATGAATATCAAAAAATTTCATTTTTGGTTTGAACAATCAATTATTAGGGGTCAATAATCAATTAGCCTAATCAATTTTGTAGTTAATTCAGCCCATGAATTGTTTCCTTTTTTAGCCTATTTTATCCAATATAAAGGATGCATCTCCTCATTTGAAAACACACCATAATTTGGAGATTTCATATTTCTTAACATTTTATCACTTTCTTCATCTCTCTCTCTCTCTCTCTAATACTTTTCTTTCACCAAAGTTGCTTTAATTCCTTGTGAGAAAAGTGTTGTACTGGTGTCGTGCCATTGTTTTTTTCTATTCAAGATTGTGATTCTCTTAAATGTTTATGTTTGGTTCTTGATATCAACCATTTAAAATCTTTGTTTGGTTATAGAACTCATCCTGGTATAATTTCTATTTGGTTATTGAGATTAGCAAGTAAAACCTCTACACGGTTCATGAGCTCGATCTGTACACAAGATCTATTTTGTTTGAAGGGATAAGCCAATTTAAATTATATTGATTCACTTATATTAGAGGTTCATTGGCATAGCCTGTAAAATCTCAAGTTTTAGTGAAACTCTGAAGAAGGTCTCTTGCGGACAAGACTATGCCAACATTCGATCGAACCTGTATAAACATTAGTGTATTCTCTCTAACCATATATCTTTACTTTCTTCCATTTACTTTATTTATTTATTTATTTAATTCCACTGTTTTTCTCTATTTTTTTCAATGCTAACGCAATTTGTTGTTTTAAGTAAGAAAGCTTTTAAACTAATTACAAATCTAAAACACCACGATTCACCCCCTTTTGTGCTTGGAGTCACTTATTCAACACCTACCTCATAAGATGATTAGTATTTAAATAAGAGTTAGTCTGTGATACCACATGTTACCCAAGTGATTCCAAACACAATAGGATGTGGGTGACTTGTGGTACAAAATATTTTCAAAAACTTAAATAAATTTGATCGATTTTAGGAATGACTTTGAGAAAGGAGTAGAAAAAGATAAAAGAGAAAAAAAAAAGTAAATATAAGGGAAATGAAAAAATACACTAGAATTTATATTAGTTCAACTTGAAACTATGAGGCCTACTTCAGTCCCCTAGGATTACTCCTTGATACTTACATTATAATAATAATAATAATTTAAACACATTATTTCATCTCAAGTACTATATTTCAACCTTTATAACTTATTAGAGTTCAAGAGAACATACCTCTCTTATTTTACAATTATAAGTTAGAATAACAATGGTTACCCAAAAAAAACTTTATTATGTGTTTACTCTCTCAACACCGAAATAATATTTTGTGAATAATAAAAATTTAGAGGAGGGAATGAGTATATGACAAGGTAATATACGTAATTCTCGTGTGTTTTCAAAAGAACACAAGTCCTTTTTGTATAGTAAAACATTTATCCAAATAAGGAAACTTTTGAAGGTCCAGGCTCGTTTCATAATCGACTATGTTGTAGCCATAATTAATTATGACCTAGAAAAATAGAAATTTTTGTTGTACCTTAAGTATAATCGATTAAAAAAACTTCCATAATTGATGACTAAGCAAAAATTTTCTTATAATCGACTAGACATTGTCCATAATCAGCTACGGACAATGTTTTTCCTACATAATCAATTATAGAGACTCCATAATTAATTTCAAATCATGATTGTACAACCTGTATGCACTAGTCCTATGTTAACCAACCAAGATTATTTGGTTCACTTCTATCACCTAAATCATTCCTTCTTGCATTAGATATATGTTTGAAACATAGTGAACCAAACACTTTCAAATGAGTCACAATTGACTTTCATTCTGGCCAATATTCCTAGGTACCTTCTCCTTTAATGTTTTTATAGGACACATGTTCAAGATATAAGCAGCTGTGATAAGTGCTTCTCCCTGTAGATTGTGAGGTATCCCTTTTAGCTTCAAGTTACTTCTTACCATGTTTATTACACTAATGCTCCTCCTTTAAGCCATGCCACTGTGTTATAGAGTATATGGTGTTGTTACTTGATGTATAATTTCATGTTGATAGTAGTAGTCTTCATATTCTTTAAATATTATATTCTTCTCCTCCACATGCCCTCAAGATCTTCATCATTTTTCCATTTTAATTTTTACTAGCCTCTTAAACCTTTTAACCACTTCTAAGGAATCCCTCTTAGCATTGATTTTATATCGGCACAACATTCTTAAACATTCATCTACAAATATGATGAAGTATTTGTTGCCATATAAAGATAATACATCAAAGGAGTTAAAAATATATGAATGAACCACATTCAATACGCCAATTGATATCATTAGAAAAATGTTAGTGAAGTTTGATCTTGGACTTTTTCCTACCATGCATGTTGAGCAAGAGCTCTCAAAAGCTAAAATTCTAGGCATGTCTAACACCATCTTCTATGAGTTAAACTTTCTTAAGATGCTAACATTAAAATGGGCATACCTCTTGGGCTACAATATGTTCCTATTATCTTGAGTCATTGTTATAAAATAGTCAACATCCATTACATTGATCAAAGTCTTGAAGGTTCAATTTTTTGCAAGTACTAATTTCAAAAGCTAGTCTCCTCTTTGCATCATACAATTTAAGTGAATAACCCTTAATACTACTAAGTATGCCTTCCCTCATAACAAACCAACACTTGTGAAATTGCACTTCACCTTTTGTGCATATAAATACTTATTTATCATTACCTTATTGCCATCTTAGAGATGCATAAGAACATTCTCTATGCCTCTTACTTCCATTGAATTAATGTCAATGAAACTCACTTAGGTTCTTTTGCTTCAATAAAATTTTATTAACCACTTCTTGGTTCTTGTCATATGATTTAAGCATCTTGTCTCAAAGTACCAAGTCATAGAAGCCATTGCATCTTCAATTACTGTTACCATTAACATCAATGGTTCAGAGTCTTAAATAGAGCGTTATTGTGACAC